TGACCTTGAGTCACACCGTTCGGATATACATAAGTGAACTCAGGTGATTCCTCGAAGTGCAAAGGAACACCTGCTTATCACGTGTATCAGTCCACGTGACGCTTGGGCTTAACAATTAGCTCGAAGCTTCTAGCTTCCCTTTCTCAAGCCCAATTGTGCTGAGAAACTGAATGCCTCCAGTAACAACTGCAGACCTGAATCACGACTTCTTCGAGCTTATCGCTTCCATCATCGGAACTTTGCTCGGACTTCTAGCCATTATCACTCTTTGCCGAGGACGACAATCAGTAGCAGCTTGGATAATCAGGCACTACCAAGCATTCCAGCACATCCAACAGATTTTACACAACGTAACCCCTGACCTTCCTTTCCATGACATCCCCCCCTCTGCCAGAACGTCCTTCTTCCCGCAAGGGGGACCCATACCAGAAGCCGGGAATAGCAACCCGGATCCGGGGAGCCTTCACGAGGAGGAAGGACCCCAACGCCCCAGCAGACGAGACGTCGGAGACCGCCACCCTGCTCTCACAGGGTTCCGGAACCCATGGACGACGAACATCACTCAGGAGCCCGCCGAGGTCTCCAACTACGTCACTCCGGCCAGCTCCCCCGACCATTCCGCCTCCCCAATTCCCTCAGGGATTGGAAACCGTGCTCGGGACTCCCTTGATGCCGCTCGGGTGGCTACGGGACCCCGCGAAAGTCCCAACTCCCCCCAGAACCCCCCCAAGACCCCCACCGAGCCCAACTCCGGCTCCAGCCTGTCCGTCAGCAGGCTGGGGGTCGACAACCCGCGAGGAAGAGATATCCACCCCGATTACGACAATGCAGATATCGCTATCTCCGCGGCAGGCGACCCATTCCGACACCTCCACGTTGGAAGCGAGCCCGAGGCCGAAACCGCCAGCGAGAGGGGGAGGGCAGCCACGAGAAGAATTATACAGAGAATATTCCTGGAGTGGGACCTTAGCGTCCCCTTCGACTACGATACAGCGGTCAGACAGCAGCAGCAGAACCAAGAGCGAGACGAGGCGATCAGGCGAACTCAGGAGGAGCTCGCCGACTACGTCCAAGAGGAAGCCCAAGAGCGGTATGAAGCCGCAGAGTATGACCGACAAGGACGAGCACAGAGAAGGAGGGAGGAGATCGAAAGAATGGGGTCAGCCTCCCCTAGGGAGTATGAGCTCCGAACCGATTCCGGATCCCCTTTTAGGGAGCCCGACTCAGAGGACGACCCATGGACGGGACCTGCCAGCATCGTCAGCTGGAACGAGGCTATCCGACGTGGAAGAATGGGAGAACCCCAGACCGTCGACCTCGAATACCCCGCCCGCACAGATACCATCTCGTCAGACGCTGACTCCGTCCTCGGAGCCTACAGGCTCCGGGTACCCGACAATGCCCACGTCTCCGACCGGGCTCTCCAGCGATTCCTGGGTAGCAGGGTCGCTCAACAGTTCCTCAATCCCGAGTTCCAGCAACTCTTCGGCCGCTATAGCCGAGAATTGGAGGAAACGAGAGCGCGAGGAGGGACGCGCTACAGCCGACTTGGGAGCCCTCCCATTACCCGGACCAGCGACCGAGGAGACGACGGGCCCAGCACCCAAGTCAACAGGAGGGTCCCCAATGACCCTTCGTCCTCCCGTACCGTCCATCTACGACCAGCCCGTCAGTTCCCTCCTCGAGAAAGGGGACAGCGGGGACGAGGGTGACGAGGAGGATGACGCGGACAGTGATGATCCATATCAACAGCGACTAGAACGAGCAGGAGAAGACACAGACGAAGAAGCGCTACAGGAGGAGATTGAGAGAGCAAGGAGCAAAGAGTATCAGGAATTGTACGAGCAGGGGAGGAACTATTTATGGCAGGACGCGCGCTGGCAAGCGACGTCCTTAGGACTTGAGTACAGGTATGCGGCAGGTACTGAAAAAGAAAAAATTTTACAGTATGCCGCGACAGAATACGCATGGAGAGAATATGGACGACGGCATCCAGAGGATCCCCTCATGCCGATACCCCCGTATCATCCCGAGCAAAAGCCAAAGATGCCGGCACCAATGCCGCGCACCCCCCCCGTCCCGCCGCGACGAGCTATCTACGTCGCCCCCTCAATCCGAAGCCGGGCCGACGATAACCCGTCGATCCGAAGCACGGCTTCACGACTCATTCGAACCAGGAACCGCCCGGCATGGCAGGCCAGTCAGGCCCCAAACCCTTGGACCGGCAGGGGCAGCCGGCTCCTCGGCGGACAACCTCCGCCGGACCAAGCAGAATCAAGTGGAAAAGACTCCATTCGGGACGACCCCGAGGCGGTCCGCCTCGGCTTTACGGTACGAGACGGAGTAATCGTTCGGGTAACCGACCCGAAAGGAAGCCCAGTCGCGGACGATAACTCATTACATTCCTTCCCCGGACCACCTGCAGAATGGAAACAGCCACCGTTCGACGGATGGCCCAACCCGATGGGGGCATTGCCGCACAATGCCAATGTCTTGCAGTGCCATCCCGATCTCCTTCGAAAACCCCGCCCCTTTAAAGGGGCCTCCGATGATATCGACCGATTCCTGGTAGACTGTGAGCAATACTTCGAAGTCTACATCGGGTACATCGGTACCGATATGAACAAAGTCGCATTCGCCACCTCATACCTGGAAGACAAGGCCAAGACGTGGTGGATCCTGATCTCCCCAAACTTCCGATCCACCACTAGGGGGCACTACCGGTATCCCTCGTGGCCGGTCTTCAAACAGATGTTAAACACCAAATTCATTGATCCCGCAGTACAGGAGGTACACAAACAGAAGATCAAGGAGTACAAGATGGGGGATAAGGCGGCTACCGACTACTTCGATGAGCTAGAACGTCTTGCAAAGCTCGCCGGGATCAGGGAAGACACGGCAAACGACGGAAGGATGGTGGAGGCACTCAAGCGAGGAGTCCCCTCCTCGTACCTCACGATGATCTCTGCCATGGGCGTCAAAATGTTGATGCCAGTGGGATACGACGAGTGGAAGGAAAGGATCATCGAAATGTACAAGGAGCGACAAAGGCAGAAAGCA